GTCTCGAAAAACCTAAATAAATAAATAAATAAATAAATAAATAAATAAATAAATAAATAAAGTATAAAAGGTATACTCTTTTCTTTTCTCTCCTTTCTTTCTTTCTTTCTTTCTTTCTTTCTTTCTTTCTTTCTTTCTTTCTTTCTTTCTTTCTTTTTTTAAGACAAGGTTTCTCTGTGTAGCATTGGCTGTTCTGGAACTCACTTTGTAGACCAAGCTGGCCTCAAACTCAGAGATTCACATGACTCTGCTGGGATTAAAGGTGTGTACCACCACCACTGGGTACTACTGTTAGCCATCATGATTCATCCTAAGATTGTGTCCTCCTTCTCCCGTCTGCTCCCCATCTACTAACTCCACACATTCACTATAGGACCTGAATCCATAACCCCACGCCCCAATCCTCACCGAAGCAGGTCTCTGGCACTCCATGGGGCTCATAGTTTTCAATATTTGGTCACCAGGGAACGGCACTATTTGGAAAGATTAGGAGGTATGGCCTTGTTGGAGAAAGTGTGTTACTAGGGGTGGGTTTTGAGATTTCAAAAGCCCATTCCACATCCAGAGTCTCTTTCTTCTTGCTGCTGCCTGCAGATCTGGATGTAGAACTTTCAGCTACTTCTCTAGCACTGTATCTGCTTTCATGCTGCCATACTCCCCACCATGACAAAGGACTGCTGAACTATAAGCAAGCCCCAACTAAACTCTTCCCTTTTTAAGAGTTGCTGTGGTCATGGTGTCTCTTTACAGCAACAAAACAGCGACTAAAACGTGATCTCTTCAACTTGATGACTTCTTGTAGATGGAGGCTGCTCTTTCATTCCCAGCCATCCAGGCCCAAATAATCATACAGAAACTATATTAATGACAACAATGCTTGCTATTAGCTCAGCTTCTAATTGAATAGTTCTTATATCTTAAATTAACCCATTTCTATTAGTCTGTGTATCACCATGAGGCTGTGGTTTACCAGTAGGTTCTAGAGTCCGTCTCCTTTGGCAGCTACATGGCATGCTCTGACTCTGCCTACTCTCTCTACATATATCTGTTCAGATTTCCCACCTGGCTTGACTCTGCTAAGTCATTGTCCAAAACAGCTTCATTCATCAGTCAATAAAAGCAACACATACACAGAAGGACATCCCACATCAACCTCTATTTCCATTCACGGTCTGCTACCATCAATGCTGAGAATTTCTCCATCTCTTAAGATCTCAAAATGAAGCAAGATAGGAGCTGTTCCAATCTGCTCAATTTTGATGGAAAGCTACCATCAGCATTACCACTTCTTTTCTGAAGTTCTTTGTCATTAAGCTGCTGTACTCTTCATCCCATTTCTCCAAATGCTCTGGCACAATCTGTTCCAGTGTTTTCCCAGGCAAAGTCTCAAAAGTCATTCAGCAGGTGGCCCTAGCTGTCTCATTCCACATGAGTCTCCTGATGGCCACCATTTACTGGAATAATGACAACTCCTAAATCGTGACCTGTTTTAACTTATTGATCACATTTTTTGACAAATAGATTTTATATTAAGTAGTAGATTACAATGACTATCTTATAAAATTGTATCTACTTTGGTCATTTAATTTTTTAAAAGCAAGTTAAAATAAAAATCTCTTAAAATACATATGCAAATATTTTAATTTAAAACATAACTACAGTTTTAATCATATACTCATTAAGCATGGTCTGACTAAAAATTCTAGAGTACGCTACCCACACTGCACTGGATTAGTCTTATTTTAAAAAACAGAACATAAATATAGATGTATGACACAACAGAACCACTTTCCCAAAATGTTTTCTAATTTTTAACTCTACTATTTATAACAAAATTGAAAGGCTAGTCAACTATATCAAGTTTTCCAAAGGGTTGCAATCCTAATTTATTACAATAGTCTTTAACAGTGATGTTCCATTTTTATCTAGTATTTGAGTGTGCGGAACAGTAGCACATTGCAGAGGTAGTTTTGTGAGGTGACCCTTTCCCTGGCTAAGTATTCCATCCTTCTTATGAAAATAGGTATTTGGGAGAGTGGCCAGTGTCCATCTCTATTCAACAAACTATGGGTACCAGGTGGTATGTTTTCTAGAGAAAAGGGATTGGTGGTTGCTTTTCCAAAGTACTTAAGCTGAAGGCTAAAGGGCAAATGTAATATATTAAAACCATATTAAGTCAAGAATCGAACAGTGAGACAGGAATATCCAACCCTAAATCTCTGTTCCTTGATCCCTTCCAGTGACACATTTTTAGACATCAAATCTCTCTGTCTCTCTTGGATCTTTGAGACAGGGTTTCTCTCCTGGTTGTCCTGGAACTCACTCTGTACACCAGGCTGGCCTCGAACTCACAGAGAGCTGTCTGCCTCTGCCTCCCCAAGAGCTGGGATAAAAGACATGCACCACCAACAACTAGCTAGATTTAAAACCTTAAGAGTAACTTTTAAAATTCAAATATATATAATAACCTACTTTTAAAATTAGGGTTTGAAGGGATGGCTTGGCAGTTCAGAGCACTTGCTGCTCTTACAGAGGACCTGAGTTTATCAGCCACATGGCAGTCACTGCATTCTGTAACTTCAGTTCCAGAGGAGACAATACCTTCTTCTGACCTTTGATGGCACTGCATTTACATGATGTACACATACCCATGCGGGTAAAATACTCTTTCATAAGAGATAATATAAGCCCAAATGCCCAGTTTGATCCCTTGAAGGACAGGTATGCTGACAAGTATCTTTAATTCCAGCACTGAGGAGGCAGAGGCAGATCTCTGTGAGTTCATAGTTAGTCTGGTCTACTCAAGTTCTAGGCCAGCCCTATGTACACAGACATTATCATCAAAAAAAAAAAATTAAATGAAATTTTATTTTTGCTGGATATGGTGGCATTTACCTATCGTTCCAGCTACTGAGACAGAAGGAACATAAATTTTGAGGCAAGCCTAGCCAGTTTAGTGAGATTGTCTTAAAATAAATAATTAAAAAGGGATAGAGCAGAGCTCAGAAGGAAAACACTTTTCTACATGCTTGAGGTCCTTTGTTTAATCCTTAGTAACAGAACCCAAGCTCTGAATAAAAATTTCCATCCTGTCTAAAACTTATCTGTAGATAGATCTGGTGTGCTGTAAATGTTGCACAAAGTTAGAAATGTGTGTATAAACAAGTTACCTCCACCTAAATTGAATTATTCTATCAAGCAATATGCAATATTACCTAGCCTTTTGCAAATAGCTGATCTCTGAGGACAGCGATACACTAAAACAGAATGCTTCAGTAGGAAGATGCAAATAAAGCTGACATTTTATATAATGTGTGTCCCTGCTTGTCTTCTACTATTAACTTGATTGGGCTTTTTTCATCTCTTGTTATATAAGAAATGCTAAACTGGTTGATCAAAACAAAGGGAAATCAGAATTTTATGAAGATTTCAAATCTTATTCAAACAACTGGTAAAAAATAAATAGGTGATCACAATTAAATAAAAGCAACAAGAGCATGACTGTCACATGGTCATGTACTATTACCTTCAACAACTAACTGGCCATGAGCTTAATCACGGAAGTGAGTGAAACAGAAATTGAGACAAAACAGTCTGTTCAGTGCAGCCACATGAGAAATATGCCTTCATGACCCTTGACTTGACGAATAATCATTTTTTTCTGAAACATTTTAACAGATACGACACAGAGGCAATTCTAACCATCAACAACAACACTGGAAAACTTTTACTCATTCAGTAAACCTAAAGGTCAGGCAAACTTACATGAGGAGTAACAAGCATATATGAGAACCCAAGAGAGTCAACAAGTAATTGAGCTCTTCTATCTCTTGATAAGAAAGTCTCTAGGAACAGTAGTTTTACAGAATTAGTGCAGAACAACTGAAAGGAGGCACTTTAGTGCAGGACTCTGCTGCTGGGAAGTCTGTGGGTTTCTCCAGGACCAGTGTGGGGGTTTGCTCAGGGATGTCCTCCATAGCTTCAGGCATTTGAACACTTGGTTCTCAGTTGTTGACAACGTTTGTGAAGGTTTGGGTAGATACAGCCCTGCTGAAGGAAGTGATCACTAAGGGCAGACCCTGAGAGTTCCTAGCATCAACCACAGGACTGTGACCTCTCAGCTTCCTGTTCCAAACTTCTCTGACATGCCTCCCTCCCTGCCATTATGTACTCCTCCTCTGGAACCAAAGAAATTCTTCCTTTTACCAAGTACCTTAGTCATGGCGCTTTACCACAGCCAACAAAAAAGTAGTTACTATGACTTAGTATGGGGCACCAGGGCCAAAAATGACTCTCTGTCTTCAAAAGCTCCTCTAAAATAGAAAGCAATACTGGTTTGCTCTTCACAATCTCAGAATACATTTCATCCAAATTTCTAATTTTGCAGGAGGAACCAAGCCCAAAATCAGAAGACTAATCAAAGTCACAGAACAGGCCGAGAGCAGGGCCAGCACTGACAAGGCAGACTTCAGAGAAGCTCATGAGACTGAGCTTCCTCCCCATCTCTTCTTTTTGTGACCCAGAGGGAAACTGCACAGCAGAAACATTTCTGAAACCCCAAGCCTCAGCAACTCAGAGTCAGCACTCCACCTTCTTCACTCTCGACTCAGCGCAGAGCCTCACTTGGCACCTGTGCACCAGGTAAACCAGCATTTCAAACTTGTTTGATGAAATAAACTTACGCAAACAATATTATGCTAACTTTTACTTTCTTTTTTGAGGGGGCGGGGGTGGAGTTCCAGACAGGTAGACCTGGCTCTCCTGGAACACACTCTGTAGACCAGGCTGGTCTCAAATTCATAGATCCACCTGCCTCTCTGCCACCTGAGTATTGGGATTAAAGGCGTGCCCAAACACCACCAAACTCAACATCTGCTTTTTAACATAAACTCTCTTATTTAAAAGAAAGGGAATTAGCTCTTTTCATTACCACCAACCTAGAACATCTGGCATGATTAATCCCCAACTACTGTAAACTGAAGAATTAAACACAGAATTACCTTTGAAGGCTTCAAGCTCCTTCCTGTAAGAAAAGAGAAAAGCAAACTTAAAACAATTTCTTCCCACTGAAAATTGCTCTTGCATTGTAACAACAGTTTATGAACTTGAAAAACACAGAACAGCTTGGGATACTTACATGTCAACTATATGTCACTGAAAATATCAATACAAATTAGACTAACGTAATGATTTTCATTTCTGTTCTTACCTCCTAATGGCTCAAAAACTACTAAATTTAAGTTATAAAAACAAAATTTAAGAACACAGAGAGCATTCAATGCCATATGTGGTCCATCTCATACAGAAACAATTTTAAAAAGGCGCTTTTTATAATTTTGATAAATATTAAACAATAGATTTCTAAGGTCTTCAACTAAAATTTATCCAGAAGAGTAGTAGTTATTTCCTCATTTAGTAGCAAAGAAGAAAAGTGAGAAAACCAAGGACAGACATTCAGAGCCCACTCTGCCCCTGAAGAGCCACACACCTCTAGGCATCTTCTGGGTTGCTAAACATCATTGTCAATTATGGATGCTAACATGAGTAGTTTCCTGGGGCAATACACAGTGGACAAGGCTCTATAAAATCGACACTTTGTGACAAAAAAGTCACAGTAAGTTACATTCCAACACAGGAGGTTGATGGCTGATGGACCAGAAGGTAGGATGATACTGAGCAGAAAAGGTGCTTCTTCCCAGCTTAAGGTTAAAATCTCTCAGGAGTATCTTAGAAGCCTTGATGGTAATTTATTTCACACACAGAACCTATCCAACAAGACATTCTGACACTATTTGGAAAACAAAAGCTCCTGAGAAATAGCTAATTCATTTTTAAAACTGTGCTAAAATCTTAAAGTCTTATACTACTACTAATATAAATCAACTTTATATGCATATCTTTTGGGTAAACAGCACAGAAACAGTAAAATGATAAGACCCTAGATTCACAGGCATTTAAAGTTGAAAAGAATCTGAGAGATATGGTAACAACGATGACTTGGAATTTTAAAAAGTACTCCAAAAAGAGACAACGAAGGTCTAAGGAATGGGCTTGTTAGTGACGCTATACATGTATTAAATCCCAGCAAAGTGCCTAAGAAAAATCACTTCCAAATCTGTTTTACATGAAAATCTGCTTCATGTGAAAAGCTATGCTTTAGGGACTAAAGGGAAGTTGAGGCAAGGTGGGTGGGGAAAGGAATATCACTGGGCTCTTACTGTATATACTATAAATTACACAAGGAACATCTTGTATATTCCCTGTATACACAACTAGCCTCAATATAAAAAAACAGAACTTGGTGACAAGGCCATATGGGAATTAGGTGATAAGACAAAGAATAAAACCTAGAGCTCTCACATTATTAAAACTCAAAACTCAGCACTGATCAGGAGTTCAAGACCAGGCTGGACTACACAAGACCCAAGTAATTCAGAAGTTTGGAAACAAAAAATATCTTAAATTACATCCTTATGCATGATATGTGTGTGGGTTTTGTTGCTGTTTGTTTTGTTTTGGTTTTGCAAGACGGGGTTTCTCTGTAGAAAAGCTCTGGCTGTCCTGGAACTCACTTCGTAGACCAGACTGGCCTCAAACCCACAGAGTTTGGCCTCAAATCCACCTGCTTCTGCCTCCTGAGTGCTGAGATTAAAAGTGTGTGCCACCACCGTTCAACTTTAGTTGTTCTTTTCATTCTTACAAGTCTACTTAGTATTAGGACACAGGGACTCTGTTCATACTGTTCCTTCTGCCTAGACTTGTATAATCCTAGACCCATATATTGCAAGCTTCAGGACTCAGCTCTATGTACCTTCTTAGGTCTTCCCTGACACGTAAAGAAGTCTATCCATATCTTACTGCCATATCATCATCCTATTTACCCAAAGCTTAGTCTACTGCTTGAGGCTATCATCTTATAAAAATTTTGCCTGTGTGCCCCATATTTCATGACTAACATGCAAGCCAACTTCAAAATATCAAGCCATTCAGTGACTGTTAGCTAAAAAAAAGCATGTATGTGGTTTGAAGTCCTTTATTTTGGCTTATAGGGTAAATATTCACTCATTCCTTTATGAGAAATCTATGTACAACTGGTTGCAAAAACATTTCCAAGAGATTCTTGAGATAGACTTGTAGAGCTTAATAATTACATTCCCAATCACCCCACACATTAGAGTATGATTTCCTGTCTGCCCCAAACCATATTCTATCCACACCACAATAAGTACTATTTGTCAAGGCAGTCTCTGTTTCTGTCCATAAAAACTTTGAGCAGGACTAGAAGGATAGTTCAGTCCATAACATGTTTACCATACAAGCATAAGGACCTGAGTTTGAGCCCCAGAACATATACAAAAACGTAAGGCATGGTGGCATGTACCTTAACGCCATAACTAAAGAACTAGAGACAGTAGAATCACTGGGACATGCTGGCCAACCAGCCTAGCCTAATCAGTAAGCTTCAGGCCACTGAGAAACCTTGTCCTAAAACAAACAAATAAATAGAAGCCAAAGTGGGTGACAACTGAGGATCAACACCCAATGCTGAATTCTGGTCTCCCTTCATATGCACAGAATATGTGTATACCTACATGAATATGCACAAACAGACACAAAAGGATATCAGTAGCAGTAATACCATTATATATGCAGTGTTGTTCAAACACAGTTGGTATTTCCCCATATAACCACACAGCTCCCTATATGTGATTTTCATCAGATAACTAAAGAAGGATAGCCTATTTTAAAGACTTATTTATAAATGTGTATTGAGTGTTTTGCTTACACATATATTTATGTATCATGTTTTTGCCTAGTGGCCACAGAGATCAGAAGACAGTGTCAGATTCCTTGGAACTCGAGTTACAGTTGTGAACCACAATTTGGGTGCTGAGAGTTAAATCCAACTCCTCTGTTAAGAAACCAGTTTTCTTAGCCACTGAACCATCTCTCCGGCCCCAAGAAGAATATTCTTAAGTACCCCATAAACACATTGGTTAAAAATCATCCAAAGTGTTTACCGAAGGTAGGGGAGAGCTCTCAGGTTCACAAATAGTTTCCTATAGTTACACTTCCTTCTACCACCATGAGAATCATAGTCATTCTAAGCCACAGTTAATACTGGACATGGTTCACACTCCTGCTGTGGCAAGAGAAGAAAACCATTCTCTGTGCTGAGAAGGCACAAACACAACAAAATAACATATATCCTCTTCTCAGCTACCAACATCTGGGTCTGATTCAGTTTGTTCTAACTCAAAAGTCAAAACAAAAGGACAAGTTTGCAGAGAGGTAGGAGTTAAAACCCTGGCTTTGATGATGGCTCTAAGTAGTTAAATAATTTTATGTAACTCAATCTGCCATTCAATTCCAGTGGTTGCTATTGTGCCCACTTCAAGTTATACTGGGCATGGATTGCTAAATGAGAAAACACACAGTAGCCACTGAAGAGATGCTCGGGAACAAAAAAGTGAGTATAGAGTAAAGGGGCCATCCAAAGAAACCAACCAATCCCTGAGCATGAAATCTAGCACCCTGACCCTGAACCCAGAGCCAGTGAAAGAAACACACTAAATCTGAAACCCAGACAAGTGAAAGAAACACTTTAACTCTGAACCCAGAACCAAAGAAAAACACCCAGACTCTGAAACCAGAGCCAAAGAAACATACTTTGGGCCTGGAATAAGAGTCAGTGAAAGAAATACATACTGGCCCTAGAGTCAAAAAAACAAAACAAAACAAAAGGCCAGTGAGAGAAACCAGAGCCAACTCTTCCCCTAACCAACTAAACCAATCAATCCCTGAACAGGAAAACTAACCAATCCCTGAGAAGAAAATCTTCCCCTGGGACTCCCTGTATAAGCCCCCCTGCCTGTTCAGTTGCTGGCTGCCCTTTCCCACCCTGGCAGAGGCAGTCACTCTCCTGGACTCCTCCTTCCCAAATAAATCTCTTTCTTAAGTTTTGGGTGGAACTCTTCACAGGTATGAAAAAGAATCTTGGCTGAGACGTTCCCTTAGTGGGGCTGAGCATAAAAACCAGAAGAAACAGTTACATCTGCTAGGAAACTTCCTTGGGAGATGAGCAGAGAAACTGCTTTTCGCTGGAGTCCAAGGAAATCGCTCTATTTCTGCAGGGGCTTCTCCTTTAGCAGAATGAAGCAGATGAGGTAACATCTTGTGTCGAAGCAGAGCAGAAGAAACAGATAGCTCTGCTATGATGTTCCCTTAATGGGAAAGGAGCAGAGCTCAGCTGTAATGGCTCTCTCTAGGAAAAGAAACAGAACTGCTACATCCTACAGGGAGACCATCCCCCACTGTACCCAACTTCAGGTATAGCCTGACTTCCTGATAAGTCAGATACTTTACCCAGCCTCCTGAGCTGTCCTATTGCAGTTCCAGCCTCCTATTGCAACTCAGGGTACAGCCTGACTCCCTGACAAGTCAAGATACCTTTCCCTCCAGAGCTGTAACACTCACAGCAAGTATTTTCTTTTCTCCCACTTCCCAACTCTGTTCTGGACTAGATTTTCAGGAAATGCATAAGCCATAGACCAGGCTAACATGGAATACATCAAAAACTTACAAAACATGATATTTGTTTTGTTCTGATTTTTGGTAACTCAAATGTGTGCATCTCAAGCATGAATTCTGTAGACAACATCTTTATGTCACAGTGTTAAGTGGCAGGACATGCCTGCAGGTATATAAATACTTTTTGTTTATAGCACACTATACCCATATATATGTCATGCATCCAACATCTTGTACATAATCTCTTTTCAAATCAAGAAAAGGAAAATCACTTGTTAGTTTGCATACTATTTTGTTAAAGGGGTGAGTTTATTTTTTAAGAATTAAGAACTCTTCATTTGAGAATCAGAAAGTTAAGCTTTCATGTCATGGTGTGTACATGTGCACTGGTTTACTGGTAATATACATGCCTGTGAAGACCAGATGATAACAGTTGGTTTTGTTTCTTCTTGGTTTTTTTGTTTTTGTTTTTGTTTTTAACTCTGCTCTTCT